AAAAGGTCATTTTTGGGTAAACTGTTCCTTTAATGCGCAGGCTTCTGATCTTTAAGTTTGTGAGGAAATCAATCTCTCCAGAATCACCTCTTTCTCACTAATATGCTCATGCTGGTCAGGTACCTGAGCTAATGGCTCCCAAAGTACTTCTGTCAATGAGAAGGCTTCTATTAATTATTCAGTCTCACTATGGCTCTGAAACCACAGTGATACCTTATGTGGTATTCACAACAATCTGCAGCCAGTGGTGACACAGGGCAAGTCAGCTTTTAGTGTTTTAGTTTTTTCCCCCCCTGGATTGGATAATTAGAAAAAGGTGAAATTAGACACCTTAGAAAATGTGAAATGTGTTGTAGGCTGATAGACAAAAGATGATCGAACTCATCTCATTTCGGGTCAGTGACACTGGGACTAGTCACACAAGGCAGTTGTCAGTTGCCACATTGTTATTGGGACAAGTTGCCCTAATTTTTAAACCATTTAATTACTATTTATTTTAGTATAGTAATAATAATAATAATAATAATAATAATATTTTGAACCATTTACATACATAGTAATTGTTTTGTTGATTCAATTTAACTAGTATATATGCTGTTTAATATTATTATCCCATTGTGACAACTTACCCCATATGTCAACATGCTCTGCTGCTGGGGCACGTTGTCACAATAGGTCCATCTCTGTTCAATGAACTGAACCTTTGTCCTGAACAATAGCAGTGGAACTGTTGGCTTTAACATATACCTCCAAGGATTCTTGCGCCAACTAAAAGCTAAACCTAAAAATGTCAAGAATCTACAAATTGTGAATTCCAGACATGGAAATTAATTTACAAAACGACAATTAGGGAACATATAAGAAATATAATCATCATAATCACTGGCTCTAAAATATGTTTGTGATAAGAATTTTTTATATGTGAGATATAGTAATCACATATGACTAGAAAGTAATTCTAATGGAAATTAGATGTGGGAATCCTTCATTTCACGACTCAAGCTAAAAACACACAAGTCACTGGCAAAACATTTACTATAATATAATTACATACTATCAATTGTCCTTGCAAAAAAAAAAGAAAAAAAACATGTTTCGTAAGAATAAACGGCTAGTTCTGAATGGCATCAATTGAGACAGATTCTTATTGCCCCATAATGGTGTACTTACGACATCTACCAGCAGGGGCTAACGGTTGAAGCTAACCAGCCAAACCTTGGCGAGTTAAATTCGTTCATTCACTCCGCTCGGACACAGGGAGTGAGGGTCTGGGTAGGTTTGTCAGGAGTGGGAGTGATTCTAAATGGATCACGTGGGACGCTCCCCTAAGTAGGCGGTGACGTCGCAGGGGCTCAGTCAGTCAGCGGAGCGGCGTCATTGTGACAGCTGCTTCCCTCACACTAGCCCACCCCACACATCATTTGGGGAAGAGGAGAGGCTTCGCTGCCTTCTACTGCACTTCAGGGTCGTGTTCCGTTAGACCAGGCACGGAGAGGCCTTTTGCTGGCGCTATTCTGGCAGGAAGAGCCCGCGACAGCCACCCTACTCGCTTCCCGCCGATGTTTTTTCCCTCGTTACTTCACTGGACGTACCTCATAATGACTGCAGACGCGCGACGCAGAATGTGACCGTTGAAGTTTTTTTTTTTGTTTTTTTTTTTAAATCTCCGTTCCCGCCTCTAGCCGCTGTTTATATTTGTGGGGAAATTACAGGCATTCGCTGTTTAACGGAAGAAGGAGCGACCAAGTTATGGATGACAGATGCTCTGAGAATAAAATGCTTTGAGCTGCATCCTCAAGATATGCGATTCATTAAACTCACCTTTCAAAGGAACATTCACAAACTTCTGAATGAGGTTTTTAAAGACCCTGGCATTTGAGTAATGGATGCAATTACGTGTCAAGCACGGCCCGAATGTGTCCCAGTAAGGGCCATATTACCAGGTTTAAGCAAACATTAAAATGTGGTGTCATATCTAGTACATATATATATATATATATAAACACAACCATCAAAGATATGAACAGTGACCATGCAAATGCAGAACCCATGATGAGTGTTTTCACATGGGACACTCAATGTCAAATTAATCATTCCTTCTGGGAGAATTACTAGCGCATATGGAGATTTATTGAATCTGGTGAGCATTTGTTGTGATTGTACATTGCATTTATTGCCCTCTGTATATTTATTTTTTAAATGCCATCCAGAATTTTTTTAATCACTTATTCATTGGCTTGGCCATTTTTGTTATTGTTTAAATGTGTATGTTCAGATTATGGCAAAATGCTTTTAACGATATCTTACAAAAACATTATTATGCATGCAAATTATTCATAATATTAGGCTAACAAATGGGTGTCATTGCAAATGCATGTCCTTTTTAGAGAGACATTAATACCTTTCACTTATTAAATTGAAACGGGCATTTACATGGATAGTCAGTAGAAACATCTCAACAATGCATTGGTTATGGAAATTTTTTTTTGCAAAAAACCTGTGGGAGCAAGTGCGTTAAAAGGCTCCTGTTTTTGTTATTGTATGGTAGACTGATTGCTGAATTACACTGATCTCCATCATATTAACGTTGTTTGCAGGTGCTTCCTATCAGAAGTCTAATAGCCTCATGTTGCTCTTCTAATTGCTGACTGCTGTGGCCACATCACGCTCCTAATTTCCGTAACTGTATGAAACGAAAACTGGTGTAGCTGGAAACTAAAATAAAAAGCGGCTGATTTGATGAATTCCTCTCTGTCGTTAATAAATACATAAATATTTATTTATTTATTCTCTTGTTCCTCCAAACAAGCATGTTTGTGACTTTGGCAAAAACACCTAGCACCTGAGTGAGTGCAGTACGTAGCGTTTTCTAGTGAGGCTCTCATTACCAGATATCAAATGGATGACAAAGGAAACCTTTGGAGCATTTCATTCGCTCTGTTCTGAAGTGTGTTAACCTTAAAATAAAGCCAGGCTTAGCCCCTTTCCATCTTACTGTAATTGCCCACGCTGGGTGAGCACATTTGGTTGAAAAGGTTATAATCCTCTGATCCAGCTGTTGCAACAAAACAGGAAACAATCCACAGAGACAAACATTCAGTAGGTAGGTGGAAGGATAGCACATGGCACTCACGAAATAGGCATAAAATAGAGCGTAGAATTCTTTTACAACAATATGTCAGTGAAAGGAGTCAGAAGGTCACACTAAATGTCAATTGAGCTGTGGTTTATATGTTAGGTTGTATGAAGTTTGCACATTTTTGCAACCGTTACCAATATTTGCGACATGTATATATACAGTTTTAAACCCTATTTTTTGTGGTTTTGTTTTTAACCAGTAAACATTACATTACACAAATTATACAGTACCATTAAAATGTTTGGAGTCAGTAAGAATAATAAAAAAAAGAAATTAATACTTTTATTCAGCGAGGATGCATTAAATTTGCCAACAGTAACAGTTTAGACATTTGTATTGTTACAACATATTTCTATTTCAAATTCGGATCCTTATATTCATCAAATAATCCTGGAGAATTTTTACTATAAAATAAAAGACTAATAATAAGAAGTATTTCTTGAGCACCAAATCAGCATATTAGAATGATTTTTGAAGGATCATGTGACACTAAAGATTGGAGTAATGATGCTGAAAATTTAGCTTTGCCATCGCATGAATAAATTACATTTTAAACTCTATTAAAATAGAAAACAGTTATTTTAAATTGTAATGATGTTTCACAATATTACTGATTTTACTATATTTTTCATCAAATAAATGCAGCCTTTGTGTGCATTAAAGTCTTATGAAACTTAACCCCAAACTTTTTAACCACATCTATATTATTTAATATAATCTAAATTAAGGCATATGCGTATATTTTCCATAAATGTTAAAAAAAAGCATATATATTTTTTATATTTATAATATAATCAAAATATTATAGTGTAAAAATATTGACGTTCTTAAAATAAACTGGTTAACAGGGTTGAATGGTTGATCTTGATGAATGCAGTCAACACTGCATTTGTATGAGAAAATGGAATAAGATAATAATAAATAATGATAATTAGAAAAATAATTAATAGATATTTTATTTAAAATTACCTATTTGTCATAGTATGTTAATGCTCTATGTTGGTTAATAGTTTATGAAAAGTCGTATCGTTCTGAGAACAACGACAAAAAAATGCTTTTAAAAAATATTGGACACCAATTTGTGCTGTATTGTCATAGAACATTTATAAGCACTCCCTCTTCTGATGCTCTCAAAACAAGCCAGAACAAAACATGACTTTCAAAAACAAGACCCCTGCTTTACCTTTATAATAATTTATCTTCTATTTTTAGATCACCATTACTGGGAGGAGGTTCTAGAATCTAATAACCCACAGTGTGAGAAAGCAACGGTTAAGAGAGGAAATTGCTGGCAGGGAGGACTTTCCCTCTGGTGCAGTGTTGATAAGTTTAAGGTGGAGGGTGAATAAGGGGTGAGGGCTGTTATCACTCGCTGCTTCTGGCTGCGGATCCTGCAACACTGCTTGCTGGAGCCTGAAAATTCATTTTGACGGATACTTCCTCTCTTTGGCTGTTAGAGTGCATCTGGGTGGGGAGGTGGCTTAGAGGGCCTCTGAGGCAGCAGTGTTCTCACTGAATGCCATGTTGTGCAAACCTTCAATTTAAACTCTCACGCAGGTCAGTAAAGGTTAGCTCATGATATGCAGAGACCCCCGTTAGCAATCTCCCCCACAGTGTTGCCATATACCGCAAATGCAGGAGACTGGAAAATCATAATGGTAGTGGTTTAGAGAGAAGATTTATGCTGTCATAAACCTTGGTTGTTTCGAAAATCACCACTGAATTTGCAAGTGATGCCATTGCCAACATTACTTCTACTGTAGCAGTACACGGCTCATGAATGTAATTTAAGATCTTCTGCTATCCATTGTACTGAGACACTCCTCAGTATTACTCATTGTTTTTCTCTCCTCATTCTTAGAGTACAGATACATCAGTCTGAGGAAGCAGTCGTCCTTCAGAAGGGAACTGCCCCAAAGCATGACCGTCTGTCACTGGGGAGGGTCAGAGAAACGCATTCCTGCAACTCTCATGAACAGTTTGTCATCCCCCTCGTAGGTCCACCTGCGGCCCTGAACACACCCATCTGCCAGCTCAGATAACCCTCAGGCTGTTTGCAACACATGTTTGATGTGATTGGTTGTGACCGCCACGCTTTGCTAAGCAGCCCCACTCTACATCATGCAGTGGCGTCGGCGACACTGCTGCCCCATCAAGATGACCTGGAATGTCAAGCGGTCACTCTTCCGCACACATGTAGCAGGCCTTCTCTCGCTGGCCTCACTCTTTGCCCTCTTTCTCATCTACTGTCACCAGGATTTGCTGCAGGGCCGGAGTTGGTTGCGAGACAACCCCTTGGTTTACACCATGCGGGGTTTGCGCCCCCACAAGGAGCGTGCGAAGGGAAACCAAAGCTCACTGCGAAGCCTCTGGAAAGACAATGGTTATGTGCTCCCCAAACCGTCTGTTAACTTAAATTTCAGTTCTCACCAGGCTGAGATCACTGCCCGGGGTATTGTGGGGTTGGAGATCTCGCCAAGCGGGAACAACTCGAATACTAAAGGCAACACCAAGAGCTTGCACAGGGAAATGGGAGTGGGAGGGCGTCTGGCAGCCCAGCCTTATCACTGGCTGCTTAATGAGCCCTACAAGTGCAACGAAAGTAGTCCCTTTCTGGTTTTGCTAATTGCTGCCGAGCCAAGGCAGTTGGAGGCAAGGAACGCCATCAGACAGACCTGGGGCAACGAGAGCGTGGCCTTGGGTTACGGGTTCGTGCGGCTCTTTCTGTTGGGAAGGATACCGAATGCTTATCCCCAGAGCTCCATTGAGGAGGAGAGCTTACAGTACCATGACATCATCCAGCAGGACTTCTTGGACACCTATTACAACCTTACCATCAAGACGCTAATGGGCATGAGCTGGGTTGCTCGCTATTGCCCACACGCCCGCTATGTCATGAAAACGGACAGTGACATGTTTGTCAACACAGAATATCTCATCCAAAAGCTGCTAAAGCCAAACATGGCACCTCGACAGAATTACTTCACAGGCTACCTAATGAGAGGCTATGCTCCCAACCGCAACAAGGACAGTAAGTGGTACATGCCACCAGAGCTGTATTCCAGCGAGAGATATCCTATCTTTTGCTCCGGGACGGGCTATGTGTTCTCGGGGGACATGGCAGCGAAAATCTACAATGCCTCGTTGGGCATTCGTCGCCTTCACCTCGAGGATGTGTATGTAGGAATCTGCCTGGCCAAACTGCGGATCGACCCAGTGCCACCACCAAATGAGTTTGTCTTCAACCACTGGAGAGTGTCGTACTCCAGCTGCAAATACAGTCACCTGATCACCTCTCACCAGTTCCAGCCCAACGAACTCATTAAATACTGGAGTCACTTGCAAAGCAACAAGCACAATCCTTGCCTTAACATGGCGAAGGATAAGAGCGGGCGACTGCGCCATAGGAAGTTGCAGTGGGAAGGTCTTCGGTGATTAGCCAGGGCTCAGGGTGCAGTAGTGTTACCACAGCATGTGCAAAATTCAGCAGTTTATGAGGTAGGGAACAGCACAGTGTTTTTGGTATATTGTGAATCAAAACTATTTTTTTAATTTCAGAGAGATGTTATGTATTGTAATCCTGTCTTTTTAAAGGGAAGTGAGAGACATCTACGTGTGCAATATCTAGCATGGAAAACAAAAACCATCCAATGGCGATACCGCCATTTTCAGGTGCCAATTAACCGAGACATATTAAGAGGTTGCTGAACTTCCTCTTCAAGCTAACGATCGAGTGGTATTACTAAGGGCCAATTTTATCGAGATCTTCACTGTTTCTGTAAGCAAAATAAGAAAAAAATCGGGAATATCATATGGTGGTGTATCTGTACTGTGACGCATTTGATTCTCAATTATGTCCACCCCTGACATTATGAGATGATGTTGATTTTTCTATCTACCTACAACCTGCAAATGGTTTACAGTAACCAAACCAAATTAAAAACAGTATGTGTAAAAGAAAATATATGGAATTTAATTGCATCATAGATGTCAGATATGATTAAAATAATATTTTTCAAAGCTTTACAATGACTAAATATACAGGTCTGCCCTTGATTAGGGCAAGTTAAAACTATTTATTAAATGTATTTCTTAAGCACATTGTCTCGGAGGTGTGGTCTCTTCCAGTGTTCTTCAAATTGTGTGGCATTATCCAAATACTATGTTACTCAGCCTGAACAGAAACCCTATTTTACAATGTAATTATTTAGATCCGAACACATTTCGCTAAACAAATACAATAAAATTGTCATAACCCACAAACAGACAATGAAAAACATCATAAGTTGAAAGCAGTTTTGGTTACCTCAGTGACCCCCAGGGAAATTGTCAGCGGCATAAATCTTGACAAGAGACTAGATTTGATCAAATAAACATTATTGCAAAAATAATTCAATTCTAACTTTTACAGACAGTTGCGCCCTTCATTTGCAAAACTAAAAATGTCTTAGTTGTCAAAATTTGCATAATTCATGCAAATTTCAAAACATTATGGGGAAATATCAACATTCAAATCACCATTATGTACTCATTAAATTAAAATGAGACTTGAAAAATCCCAGAATCAGTCCCCAGATGGAACCGAAGACTAAGATTAATGTGTTAATGATAAAGTAGATAGTGTTGCTCTGGGTCAAAATATATAATTAGTGGGGGGGCTTCACAACACATTAGCTGAGAGTAATCCAATTAAATTGAAGCTGGCAACATTTGAAGGGTTTATTTATCATTTTCATTACTCATTTGTCAGTCTAATTTTAATTAACCACATATTCGAGTGACTACGATAAGTGCTAGATGCAGAATTTGTGCATCAATTACAGGCGACTCAGAAGATGTTTCAATGTACCCTTCTCACAAATCATAAGCACTTGAGTTTCACAATATAACAATTATTGTGACATAAACGAGTCCCTTCGTTTCCAGACCTTTACTTGTTGGAAAACTTCAGTAATTTCTAAAAACAGACTGACAGCGGAAACAGTAACTGTTTTAAAGATAAAAGATGGATCTTTACTTCAGAGTACCCTAGTGAAAAATAAATATACTTAATTGTATTTAAAATATATTTATTTCATGATAAGTATGCTAAAAATAGATTGACGTGTCTATACTAACTGAAAATACACTCTAAATGTAGTTATTTTATGCTTTCATCTAGCACAAACTTAGTGCACTACAAATTAATTTGTAAAATGCTATACTTTTTACAAATGCATATGGGGAAGGATGAAATATATATATATATTCATCCTTAAGAAAGTACACTGACTAGGTTCTTAATTCCATCTACAACATGTTTTTTAAAAAAGTGATTTTCATAATGGTGTTCTCTGAGCACAAAAAAATAATAAAATAAAAAATAAAGACCTAAACACACACCCATATAAACCAACTGGATGAAACCTTTGAAAGGATGCTCAGTTCATAACCCCAATGACATGTCCATGCTCACTCAGCCCAAAAATTAGTCTCTGTAAGGGATGAATGAAGCAACTCATCCTATGATCCTGTAGATTTATAAAGGCCATTTTAATGTATGTCTGTGGGGATTGTTTGTACTGTATGTTGTCATATTATTAAGGCTGCTGTATGAGTTCTCACCTAAGACTATGGCACAAAAGACAATATCACATTTTGTGTATTGATATTTGTTTGTTCCTTCGCCTCTTAAAAGTGTCTTAATAAGTATTGTAATAATGTGATTTTAACATCGCCTAAATATATACTACAGTATGTTCAGTGAAGGGGGCTTGATAAGTCAGTTTCTCCTCACCTAACTTTCACAAGCTGTGAAATTTACCAACAATCAGTTTTGCTGCACTTTTGCTAAACATCTGAACTCACTAGAGTGCACACTATTGGGAATCTGTGTTGCAGACTTGGCACATTTTTCTGAAGAAACCTTTAGTCTAGAAACTCATTCCAGCTAAAGACACAAGTCTCACCATGCATTTCAAATCTGAGAATAATTAAATTATTTTTAGATGATGCGGCGTAATTTTTTTTTTAATGAGACTTTCTTTTTGGGCAAATCAAAGAAAATGAGAGAAACATCTGCTAGGTGCTGCAAGGGCAGAATTTCCAAACGCAACTTTGGCCTACAGCGCAAATATAACAATGAGAAATTTGCAAATAAAACAATTTAATTTGTTAAATATTGACGTAATACTTTAGTAATAAATTTTTTATTGAATCCTCTGTTGACCTGTTATGATTAATACGCTGTATTTGAGTTCTACTTGTTGAGTACAAAAATAGTATAGATACAAATAAATGTTTTGAGTTGCAAATAATAATAATAATAATTCATAATCATGCAGTACTTTTTTTATAATTATGACATTTACCTTTTTTAATAATTTAACCACACTTTACATCTAGTGCTTTTCACAATTTTGCATGGTTGAAAGTAGTTACAAAAGTAAAGATGTAAACAACATATAGCTAATTAGTTTGAAAAGGTGAAAGACATTCACATACTTGATCAGAGGGTTTATTTTAGTACAGTATATTGCTAATACACTCCAATGCACCTGTACCAACATACTTTTTTCTCCATTAATGGTTCTTTAACGTCCCGTACAGACAACGGCAACATTGTAGGCTACTTTGAAATGTGGACTGCAGCCCTTTGGCCTGTCAAAATATTATGAATCACTAAACAAATTATTAAAAATTATCCTGACCAGTCCTTAAAATTACACAAAAAATAAAATGTCAAATAACTTCAGAGACGTTAACTGCATGAAAAGTAACAATGTAAAATGTATTAAAATAATTTCTATTCATGCGTCACATTTAAATCCGCAGCGTAGCCTACTCCAAGACCGCCAAATCCTTTCATTGCGTTTTACATTAGAAACACTTGTGCAGTGCATTGAGAGTTGAAGCGGGCAGAGACAACAGGCAGAGAAATGTTACGGATGGTTTTACACCATCTGCATTCACTGAAACATAAGCAGTTCTGCACGTTCACATTCTTCCACCAACGAAAGGAACTGTGCCGCTTACTGCGCCTATATTAAGACTACTCAGCAATTCACAGTCTTTAAATCCATATAATTTGTGCTTTCATCGATGGAAAATGTCTGTTTACTTGTAGTAGTACTTAGTAGTACAGTATAAAAAGAACACAAAGTAACCGCCGTTTTGGCCAGCTTTGGTGGCGCATTTCCACTGCGTGGTACGACTCGGCTCGGCACGGCTCAGTACGGCACGGCTAGGTTTGCGTTTCCACTGCAGTTCAGTACCGCTTTAGTGTGGGCGGGATTATTCACATGTCGTTATAGTTGCGCCGCCTCTATTGCCGCAACTCCTGAAAAACTTTTTCATTCCGCGTCGCCCCATCAAGCTCTCGCTGGATCCGCTCCTCTGCTATCAACGAGAGGAACGTCTGTACTTCCTCAACAGACAATGAAACAACCACTTTTTGGTTGTTAAAAAAGGTGCGCTTGTTCAAAACAGTTGCGTTCGATCCTTCGCTGGCTGTGCTGATTTAAATCTAGCGGTTCTTTTGTGTTTGTGTCGCAAGTTCAGTGACGCAGGTAGTGACGATTCTCTCTGGCCAATCCGTGATCAGCAGAGTTTACGCGTCACATTTTGGTAACAGTACGGTTCACTTGGAACCTCAACCGAGGTGGTACTAAAAAAAGTACCAGGTACCAGGTACTGTACCCAGTGGAAAACCCCCCAAAAGTGAACTGTACCGAGCCGTACCATGCCGTACCATGCAGTGGAAAAGCGCCATAATAAAGCGAGTGCGCTTGTGTCGCAGCGACCCGGGTTCGAATCCAGTCCGTAGTGTTTCCTACATTGATTGTTCAAATGTTTGTCACCAGTGTGTCACCGATATTCTCCGGGTGAGTGAGTTAGCTGGTATGCTGGGAATGTTAGTAAAAGACGAATTGTAAAGCTGTGCCATAATTTATAAAGATTCATTATTTGCATTAAAAGCACACAATAATGATGTTATTAGCACACTTCAAGTTTAATTTGAATGGCATTGCAGTGCGTTTTAAAGTTACTAAAAGTAAAGGATAGCATGACCTCAGTTTGTTATTAGTATAATATTAATACACATTTAACACTCTTAAAGTGTAATTGTAATGTCAGCAAAATACATTTAAAGTTTATGCTGAGTGAATTCTGCATTTCAAAACTTAAATACAAGAAGGGATATTTAAAGTGTACTGAAGTATACGTAAAATAGTTCCACTTTAGCACAAACAAGTATATTTATTACAACTTTAGTTACTTACTTGAGCACTGCTTTTACACAAGTGATTTTACACAACTAAAATGTATTTAGTACAAAATTAGTTGTTCCAATTTATAAGACTTTAAGTATACCAATTTATAGTGTGCCATATGTACAAAAGTACATATGAATAAATTGTGCTTAAGTATACTATTTCTTTACTAGGGTAAGAATGGAGCAATTTACTTGCACACTCTTAAGTTTTCATGACACTTCTGTGTTATATAAATATAGCAACAAAAAACAGGAAGTGGTAAAGAGAAAAAAACACAAACTTGTTTGTGAACTGTAATAACTTGAGAATTTTGCAGTTGTTTATCTCACAATGCAGTCATTGTTTTGCCATTTAAAGCAGATCATTTGATGAGTTATATAGACCTAAATTTCACAATATTGTGGCACAGTGAGGTAGTTCATTTCCAGGCCTATACTTGTCCTTGGAAAGTTTGGTTCCACCTCCACCCAGAAATACTGGAACTTTACTCTAGAATAGGAATGGAATAATTTTACTTGCAAGCTCTTGAGGTTTCACATCACTTCTGCCTAATATAAATACAGTACCAAAAATAAGAAGTGCTAAGGACTAGCAAACTTGTTTATAAACTGCAATAACATGAGAAGTTTGGTGCAGTCATTTATCTATGAAAATATTTTGTAAACAGATGATTTTATGCATCATATGGTCTATAAATAAATCACTATATTTAAATGTGATAATGCAACACTCAAAATGTGCAAACTGTCCCAAGCATCAGGAGATTTCCAGGACCTCATTGTTTTAGACCCTAAAACCATCTGTTAAGAACTACATTCTTGCTAGACAGAATTCAATTCACACA